GTTCTCCACCAGGTCTTTGAGGTATTCCTGGCGAGTACGTGTTGCCATGGCGCGGAACTTCTCTGACTTATGGGCAGCATTTTCTCCGTTGATTACTTTAGCCAGGAGGAAGTCCCGAAAAACAGCTGACTTGGGGAACATCACTCCCTTGGGTATGAGAGGACCGAATGCAGGCACATCTCTGGATCTGGCAACTGCAACACTATGAATGAAAAACATGAACAATGTGAGCTTTATTGAATTCAGATAAGAATTGTAATAGATAACTCATGGGGGGGGGGTATTTAACCACTAGAAGCCATATTTTTAAAATAAAGTAAAATAGTAATAAATATATTTTTTTTAGGTAAAGTCATACATTGGTCTCTGTCTGCTGAAGACTGCAACCGGAAACATTTACTTTATTTTAAAAAATAATTTTTTTGACAGGGTGGGTAATTTTGACACTTCCTGTTTCAAATGCAGCATCATCCAAAAAATGCAGACATGTCACATGGTCTGTTAATATGCATTATAAACTATCCAAACAGTGAGTTTCATGAATGTGTTAAAAAGAAATAAATACGGATGAAAACAAACATGTTTTAATTCAGACATGACACATGGAGCAGCTTGGATCTGTCTGGAACACTTTTTGAAACAGCTTTTTTTACCAAATTGATGAAGGATACCGTGATTGTTTTTGGAAAAAGACAATGTTTTAATACCTGATCAGGTATGTGTTTCTATTATCTAATTGATTTAGCTCCTGCACAGCTGTGGACAAAGGCAGCAAATAAATTGACAACCAGTAAATAAAATTGAACTGGATAAGTTGCCGGCCACAGTCATTTCATCAAAAGTAGTAAAAAGACTGAAATACATGATGTTGTGCCTTATTTTGGGACCACAATATCTGCAGCTGTTTGACTGCAGCAGTATGCTCCCACTGTTATTAATGACCACAAAAGACAGTAATTAACAAATTTCTACTCTGCTCTCTAAAGCACAAAAACTGAGCAGCGGTTAGTATACGCCTATTTTCATGATCAATAATTCATGGCTGACCACACCCCTTTTCCCAAATGAGGTGTGAATGCAACTTGTCATTTCTTCCAAGTGTTAAGATGCTTTAACAAGATCAGCAGGGAGGGGCCTAAAATATGTCCCAAAGATATACTCCAAGCTTTTAGCTGAGCAATGGTGATATTTGTTTACCTCCCACTACTGAGAACTGACAAAGTTGAGGTGTACCAATTCTTATTGATTCCAGAAATGTTCAAATTGCCAAATTACACAGACATAAAAGAAAAAGAAGAAAAAGTAATTGTTTAAACAATTGAGTTCAGTACCTTTTAATAAATACGGTAGGCAACACTTCAGAAAACATAGGCCTCGGTGGACAAAGTATAGAAAACAATGCCATAGCCAATAAGAGACTTGTGGTAGCAGTCATTGATTGCAGTAACCTATCAAAACGGAGCGATGGCTTTTTGGTGTAGAGGCATGTTTGTATTAGTAATTTCAAATGTAAACAATGGCACCCATAAATTACCAAACCTCTTTTTAAAAAAAGTGGAATAAAAGCAGCTTTAGAGCACTTTTGAGATCAGTTCTCTAGCTTTTCTCACAAATTAGCTGTTGGAAATTTAGTCAATATATACAAATAAATTATTGTTCACCTTGATCATATTATAACATATCAAGTATTACAGAATAAACCACTAAAGATGTTTTAATAACATAAAATGGCAAAGAATTTAAAACATTAAGTGTTTTATAAAAAATTCAAGCACTTTTAAAAGTAATACCCCCCCATGTTGTATGCTCTGCATCTTAAACCTTATGCACAACATCAGTGTAGCTTATGAGAAAAGGTAGAAAAAAATGGATTTATTTTTGACATCCTTCTCTGGCAGTCCCTCAAAGATGAGATTTATTTTGCTCTGAGACCGGCTCCAGCCTCCCTCAGCCTCTCTCCAATGTTACGCTGAACAAGCTTAAGAGGTACACACTGAGTAAATAAGACTGGAAATTGAATTCTCTTCGATCTTATCCTTTAATCCTCCCTATCGTTCTGAGAGGTCAAATCTCACAGTCACCAAGCTGTTTGGGAAGCTTCCCCTCCACCTCCCATCCAACAAAAATGGAATCTTTCACTTGCAAAATTGGATTAATTTAAAGTGGACAGGCATGACTTTGCTAAAAATGTTCTACTTAGCCATGCAAACACACAGGCATAAGCCAAACCTCAAAACTTCTACGAAAAGGAAACAGATAATTATCACAATTATTCATTTTGAGAACAAAAATCGTACCTGTAACACACATGCTCTGTGCAAGGATTGTGGACCTTGACGATGATGAAAATATGCTGAAAGTGAGATCGTATGTTTTGTGGTGTGAATGGTAAGGATCCTGGCTCCTGGAAAATGATGGTAACGATGTCATTTCCAATGTGTCGTTTCCTCAGGAGCTAGAAAGAGGAGCAGGTAAGAAGAAGTCATTATAATCCACTTTTATAAAAGTAATCTCAGGATGTAATCATCTATAATTCGTTTTTAAAAGAACCAAACCCAGTTTACTTAAAGGAACACACCACTTTTTACACATGTGCTGATTCTCCATATTCCCCTTAGACAATAAATTTAGATAAAAAGATACATTTAGATAAAAGAACTTAGATAAAAAGTTTCTACAGTTCTTGGGATAATACTCTTAGCATAGATATTTGAATCCAATTAGACGAGTAGCCAAATATAAGATATATATTAAGGGATGCAGTACTTGGGCTACATTATATATTTTTTATAATACAATAGGCATCACTAGAAAAAAAAAACCCTCAAATGACAATACAAGCTTAACATTTTATTACCGATGACTTAAACTGATTTGATATTTAAAATTTTACTTGAAAGAAAAACTGAATGTAAAAATGTAAGAAAGCCAAGAACATCAGTATCTTGTTTGATTTGCATCAGAATGTGTAAAATCCTCCAAACACCAGGGGGCAGCACTAACATTTGAGAGTGTATTACACCTCAACACACCGATCCAAATTTTTATGCACTAACACACCAACGGGACATCACACATTTGACTGAACGTGGAAAAGAGTTTTGCATTGCCATAGCGAATGCGTTTTTCTCAAGGACAACCGACAATGAAAGCTGGCTCTTCTGATGACTTGAGTCGTTGCACTCATCCCACATTTTCATAGCGACTTCAGACAGGAAAGAAATTTCTCTTTCTTCTCCCTCTGATCAGTCACCAACAATATTAACCGCTCTATATTCATGATTTTTTCTATGTGTTCTTTGATTTCTTCTCTGTTGTCATCTTCTTCTTCTTCTTTCCTGTTTCCCCGTGTGGCTCAGAGTACATCTGTTGGACCATAAACGCTATCTTCAGGCAGGGAGCATCATTGCATTAATATTTCTTTGACCCAGACTAAGAGTACCCTGCTGAGAAGTCATCGGAAGAATCATGCAAATCTCAATTTGGATCGGTGTGTGGAGGCCTTAAGAGGGAGAGCTCTATTGTGCTCTGAGTGAGAAAGAAAGCTTGTTTTATACATAACTTTAACATGTTTCTCTCTGTTTTTTCACTGAACAACTTCTAGAACAGGGGTCACCAACCTTTATGACACCGAGAGCTACTTCCTGGGTACTGATTAATGCAAAGGGCTACCACTTTGATACCATCTTCTAAATTTATTAATAATTAAGATATTCATCTCTGCAAAGACGCCGATCATGTGAATTATTTCTCACACTGAATATGAATTAAATTAATTAACAAGGTAGTAAACAAATAAATATTTATTTGCAACACTTTATATTTATGATTTGTCTTAGTGCAAGTGTTATTTAAATTGAAAAAAAAAATACAAGTTCAAAACACTTCAAAATGATCACTTCTACAAGAGTCCAAGGAAATCACAATGTCCAATGTACAAATAATACATCATATAAATACAAAAAGTGAGCTAAGATAATTTTTTCATTGTTAACATTTTAACATACACCATTTTTACATTTTACAAATGCATTGAACTAAACATGAACTGGAAACCAAATCTGGTATCGGTTTCTTTCAGTTATTGGGAAGCCTGGCATTGCATGCTGTTTACCAGTATGTTGTACTCTGAGTGAGTTTTGAGATGGTGTCATGGTGTCTCTCCACGTTGTGCCACTTGGCCACCACCGCCACAATCGTCGCGCAAATGAGACAAACAGAAGTAAAAAAAACCTTTACCTCGCATTCATCGCGAATATTAAAGGATCTTTCTATGAGTCAGTCGTCTCGTTTTTGCTGCGCTGCTTAATTGGTTGGAGACCCCTGTTCTAGAATAACATGAGCTACAGTTCTAGCACCAGAAATCCAGCACTTAATCCATATCAAGCGAAATGTATTATTTTTCTCTGTGCCGAAACTGCTTCCACTGTTTTTGTGCTTGTTCATATGGTAGCTCCAATATGATACCTCCGCGATTCGTACTGTGACATTTATGTATCATGATGTAATGCCACCACTTCTTCAATAACAGCAGCAGTGGATGTGGACATGAATTGTTTATTTCTGCAGACTCTCCATTTTGATGAAGATTATTTGGAGCAAGATTTTATAAACTAATGCACAATTGCACTTCCAATCCCCTTTCATTAATTTCTGTCAATAGTCCCCAAAATGCAATTTTTAAAAGATGGGTTCAGAGTTGTGATGGCTATCTGTGTAAGACCCCAGGGTTTTGGGGGCAATGGGGTGGAATAAGTACCAGCATCTTACAAGATAGAACACCCCTGAGGCATTAAGTTCATTAAGTGGTAGAAGTGTAACAATACACTGCTCACAATATGATACATACCTCGATTTTATAACACTTTTTTTTAACAAACTATTGAAACTGTTTAAATAACAAACCATAATTGGAAAAAATGTAATTCAAGTTTTGAGACCACAAAGTGAAATAGGCAAGGGTCTTCTTAAGAGCCTTTGTTTGAGAGCATTTCTACAGCTTTCCTGTGGCTCAGTCGGTAGAGCATTGCGCTAACAACAGAAAGGTCATGGGTTCATATTCCAAGAAAAATGATATAAGTCATTAAAATGTAAGTGGCTTTGGATAAAAGTGTCTGCCAAATGCATGAATGTTAATGTAAGCATTTGATACCATCCATTCACCGGGGGCAGTGTTAATGTTTGCAATAAGTCATCTTTTTTACTCTAAGTGATAGAGAGCTAATTTTATAATCTTTCTCATTTAAATTGTGAGTAAAGGATAATTGTCGATATTACATAAAACAAGAAGACAAGGTAAAGAAGTTTCAGAAGTGACTAGAATCACAATCATTTCAAGATGTGAAAACACTTCAGCTCCTAGACGATATCTGCCAGTATCTGCACAAAATGTTTTGTATTGCAATATATTGTGCCATGATATATTGCTACGCCCCTATTAAATGGTCTTCCTCAACCTGGTCAACGGTTACCGTAACAAGTTTGTGAACAAACTTTTGAAAATTGTATTTTTTTTATTATATTGAATAATATAATGCATCAGGAATTTAAAATGAGATACTATTAAGAAAACACATTTTGAGTGGAGTGGACGTTTGAAAGAAACGAAACACTTGAATATTTGTGTGTTGCAGACAGTTGGTTTTAAATGCAAAGCATTAGCAAATGATAAAAGTTAAATGTAAAACTAAAAGTATAAATGCATTTATTTTAGCAGAATAACATTCAGAATATATTGAAAGCCATTAGAGAACCGTGACATATTGAGACATCTACATAGACATCTGTATTTAAATGCAACCATTGAGCAATCACTTCTAAGAAAGCTCAAATTCTGTGTAAAGATTTATGTAAAGATTTAGCTGCAGCCTGCTGAAGATCCCCTGCACACTCTGATGTCACACAGAGAGCAACTAAAGGCAAAAAGGATCAAAGACGAAGTGATCTTAAATCTCAACGCTGCGGAAACCTTTGCCAGCTTATTTTTCAAGATTATCCCAACTGCACCATGATCTCATGGACAGAAAACAACAAATCCCTCAAATCAGCCAAATAAAGACCCAAGGACAGACAGCTTTATTTTTCAAGCTCGGATCTCAATTTTCATTATCACACTGAGCTCAGTTTAGCCACAGGGATTTTAGGAAGTCATTGATGGAAAGCTGTTCCAAGGTAAATTAATCGGTGACAGGCTGTATTAGGTTTGTTCCACGCATTGAAAAGTACAGCGAATGAAGGGAAGAAACCTTCAAATTGGTTCCACCAAACAAATAGGAAAAGCCTTTCGTGTCTTAAATCCACTTCAAATGGACAAATCTCTAATTAATTATCTTTGATGCACCCTGCTCTTCACTTAAGAAAGAAAATCTCTGCCTTGTCTGGGAAACTGGAAAGGGAGCTTTTTTTTTGAAAGATGGAGCATTCAGATGGTTGCCATGACGACAGCCTGCCCGCTGAAGTGTTTACAATTAGCAGGATGCAGGACAATTGCTCGGGGCTCTGTGAGGTCTGTTCGGATGCCCAGATCAAGACCAGGCTCTTGAGCAGGGGACTGAAAGAGTTTGATGTAGCCAGGCCTCAGTGAGTGATCACATCTCGCTCGAGCTCTTTCAAGCCGGTGCATTAATCAGCAGGAAGCCCACTGAAGAGTCCTCTTCTTTGTCAGAGATAATGAAATTAGAATGAAACAACCACATAGCCAAATGTGGAAATCTTTTCTCTTCTTGTGATGAAAACTCCAGCCTACCTTCTTAAACTATTGAAATGCAACTTGTGGAAATACATTTTTAATATAGTCGCAAATAGAGCAGATTACCATTCTTAGAAAATTCTCAGTAATAGTCCTGAAATACGTCACAATTATTTTAACATTTTTTTAAACATTAAGTCTACAACTTCACTCTACATTCAGGAAGAATATTGTTTATAATAATGCATTACATTTAGTGTACTAAAATTAGTAATGAAATTATTCAGTTAGTGAAATAATTATTTCCTCTGCACAAGAACGGCATGGCTGAGAAATCAAAATTCGAACCCGGGTGGTTTGCTCAAATGTGCCCTATATCCGTCTACTGTCTACTCCACCACAAGAGCAGACATCTGTACTTCTTTTTGGGGTACTCTGCTGTTACCTAGTGTTTTTGGAAAATGGCAACCTCATTCTTTCCTTCTCAATGGGAATAGGAAATTACTATAAGTGTGATTAATCGACTGGCCACTCAAGTCTATAATTTTTTCGACCACAGCATTTATTCATTTACTACAATTATTTTAAACAGGAAGGTAGAGAGCGACAGGAAACGAGTTGGTAAAGAGAGTATGGGAATGTCTCCCTGCACAACTACTTCAGTCTATAGTTATATACAGTTTATGATTTTGTCTCATTATCATCTAAGATGGATTTTCGATGACCTTGCTGAGCAAAGGATCTTTAAATGCCAAATTTAATGACACATGGCCTCGTCCATCATCTTTTTGATGGCAAACAGATGCCACGTCCCCTTACTAGACACCCCCAAAAGCAGAATATTCGACTCTGGAGATGTTTTTTGGGAGATCATTTGCAGCATTTCTACTCCAAAACAAAAAGAGGTGAGAAGATTTTGTGATCGATATTGGTCTCAACACACTTTCACTGATCCTCCTCTGAACAACTCAGAGGTTTATGTGCCTCTAGAGGAGGCAAAGTTTCTATTTTATTTGATCCAAAGTTAAAACATAGTTAAACTGTATTCCTATAGTGTTTAAGCCAAGGTAGTCCGATAAAATATAGGATTTCGGTACTTCACGATGTAGCTCGTAACCAATTGTTTTCTTAGTGAATATGGTCTCAGCTGGCTCTTGCTGTATAGTTCTGGGAGGATTCCTAATCATGATTCCTGAAAATTCTTGAAGTGAAATCTTGAAGCCGACACTCTAAGACAAACTTTGGTCTCTGGCCTCTTTCATTACAAAAATGAGACGATACACCACAAATACTTCTTTTCCTTGCTGTATTTCAGTCAGCATATTGCAGAAAAAAATTGAGGGAACAAATAACATGTGGAATTGGAAGCTAATACTCATTTGTTTAACTGTTTTTGGGGGGGCGTGGAAACAATATATCAACTTTAAAAATGTCACAAACATATCTTTCGATGATAAAACCATGGTAGAATTTTAAAATAAAAGCATTTTTAGGTTTACCTTCTCAGAAATCAGATGTAAGCAGGTAGTTCAAAAAAACTAAATATAATTTTGGTAAAATATCTGTTTTTCAAGACCATCGAGAACACAGAGCACAGTGGAAAAGAACAGAATCTAAAAGTAAAGTGACTCACTTGTTGTCTGTTGTTGGGTGTGTGGGGCAACATTGTAGAGACGTGAAACATCAACTCAAAGTCTTTATAGGTGGTGTAGAGAGAATGGGTGCCAGTGGAATCCGCTGTCGAGAAATGTGATTGCATCTCATGAGCATCAAAGCAGTAAATTAAAAAGAGACAGTTCACCAACAGTTTGACTCCAAATGTAGTAGCACCAGTGACAGGGAAAAGTTATTGAATAACCGAACAAACCTGTACTTAACAGACCGATTTCTGACTAATTAAAGATTCCTAGCCATGAAAGTGGTTGAAATACTGAAATACACCGAGGAACACAATGAAAGACAACTCACTTTTGTTGTCCAGCTGTGCCCTGTATTTACTGAAGCCCTTGAGGCGAACTCTCTGACCCATCAGATCCAGAAACTCGTCCAGGGCTGGACTTCCACTCTCATTATTGTACATTTCCTCCTCTGTGCTCTGCCCAGCCTGGCAGTACAAGATGCCCACTTTGTGCTGGTAACTCAGCTGAGGAAAAACACAATCACTGTAATCAGACTTGACATCCCTCATGAGAGTATTGCAGAGCCCTAATCACATCAGTTACATGACTAACCAAAGTCTTGTAAAGCTTCTAAAGTGGCTGTATTCTGTTCTTAAGTTTATTTTTATAATGATCATTATGCTGTAGGGTATGTATCTCTGAACTTCAAGGAACATCTCATTGGTGGTCTTTCTTTAAAAATAAAAAACAACTGGAACTTGAAGACCTGATTTATTGCACCGGCTGACCTCAAGATTTTGACACCACTTAACTTTTTTATTATTTCAACATTCCTATGAACATGCTTTATTTTAGCTCATGTTTTCATTTCATTATCAGTTACTTTTAACACATTACATATTTTGTTTAGCAAACAAAAAAAGCAATTGTTACATAAGAAATCATTTTCTTGTCAATTTCAACGTACATCAATATAAAGACCAAACACAGTGGTGGTCAGTAGGGTCTCTGAACTTGAACCCAATTCTGGGAATGGCTTGTGCATCAACCATTTTAAGTGGGTTAAAGATACAGACATTTATAGATCACCTTGTTTGCATTTAAAACATAGCTATTTTTTTTTCAGGACAATGGTAACAATGGTCAGATATGTCAGTTCATCTGTACTGTTTACAACTATGCTATTACTGGAGTTTTTTTGGCAAACTGGTCCCTCGCTGAACTGGCATCCTTCATTATTCTTATGCCTAGAATCCATAATTTTTAGATCCAATGGGTTTTCAGTAGCTGATGTGCAAATGCTATGGTGAAGCCTTTAGTCTTCCGCTATGAAAATGAAGAGCTTGTGTGCATTTTATCAGTGTAGTTTATTTTTCTGTCCACCATATGGTGGTTTTGAATCATTTTATTTGAAATATAGAATGTGATAATTTTATTTAAATTTCTTATCACAAAGGACTGAAAGTAGGGGTGGAACCGTTTCGGTGCGGCCTGTTCGGTTCGGTACACTTGCGTACCGTTTCAGTATATTTTTTTAATTAAATAATATAAATTTATTATTAGTGCGATATTAAGCGCAGCGGAACATTGTTCCTAGGCGAGTTTCCGCACGGACGCTATTGAGTGACACACAGTAGAGCTGCACGGGACAGCTGTGAGAAATGGCAACAGCGAAAGAGAAGCCAGAGCTTGAAGACCCTCCCACCTCACTACGGTCTCCTGTTTGGGAACACTTTGGCTTCTCTGTTAAAATACATAACGGG